AAAAACATTTGTTACATGATGACACAAAGATGTCAGATATCATTAGTCTGTCATGATCAATTTCCATTCAATTCAATTCACAAGTTTGCAGTCAATATAATGCGATATCATCTACCCATTCAGCACATTTATTAGCATTGATGTCAACCTAATACAAAACTATAAGAACTAATAAGAAAAAGCATTGTTTCTTTTCACAGCAAAAAGGTGATAACAATCAGTCACCTCAACCATAGTATATTTAGTGTATTGCATATATAATTGGTTAATTATGTTGAGTAGTTGCTAATCATTTAAATGTTTTTTTTAATGTGTGTATTGTGCCAGGACTGAATATTGATTGTCTTTTGGTCCTTTTCTTGCAATTCTCATTTCATGTATTAGGGCCTCAGAGTAAAACAACTATGCTTCATAACAAAAGTTTAATACACTGAAAAATTATGCTAATCTCTGTGATGTAAATTGTGTTTTGGGTCACAACATGTCATGTTTCAACGTAAAACTGAGACATGAATTAGCATTTCGTAGTATTTCAGTTTTAATAGAGATCTCTTATTTCTAACATGATCTTCATATCATTTGAATGATCATTTATTTATTTTCTATTTTTTATATTTCTATTTTTATTTATTTAACTTTTTCTGAGATTTGTTTTTTAAAGGAAAAAAATAACTGAAATTGAAAATTGTGTTTTGATTTTATTGATTGGGTTTTATTTATGCCTTCTGATGTCTGAACAAACTTCATTATGATCTTGTTAAATCTTTTTCATTTAAGACTCTTGATACTTGAACATTTTAGGGAACTTTTAGACAAAATTTAAATCAGCCCTTATTTAACGGTTGCTTTCATCACTATAAAATATAAATAACTATAATATAAATTATTAAACATAAATAAATGCAACTACGATTATCTGTATTTCAGAATAGACTTTAGCATGAAATAGCTTTAGACACTGCCTATCGTAGTTTTTTTGGGTTACTTTTGGGTTTTGATTATTATACCTAAAAACCGGCTACATTGTAAAATTCGACTGACTGACAGGACCTTATAAAACTGTATATGAAGGTATCATATCATTGTTAGATTTAGAATTGTACATGAAAATGTTTTAATACTTTAGTTATATGATACTTGCAAAATCCCTAGAGTTGAGTTTAGACCAACCGACTAATTCATTTTAAAATAAGCTGAAGTTCCTTTAACCTTTCTTCAACCAAGGAATGATATTTTTTTTGTTTTGTTATTTTTTGCTTTTCTGGCCTTTTAAACAAGGTAACAGAGTGATATCATCTGATGTAGCTTTTCCTGACAAAGGAAGTGAGATGCAATTTTGGCTTCACAGAACTGACTTAAGGAGTCACTGAAACTCCATGCTGAAAACTGAGAAATACCTTATCTCAATCTTGGTCATGATTTTAATCTAGAAAAAGTTTTACTACCAAATGTGTTCTTTACGTCAACATCTGACAAACATACAGAAATAAGCAGAAATAGATGCACTTATGTACGCAACAAGTTGTTCAGATTCCTTGTAATACCTGTGCACCCAGTGCTTACATCAATGGATGGTGTAAAAGATAAGAGGTACCTGCTTTATATGTCCTTTAGGTTTCCTTTTCCCAAGAAATATAACTCACACTTGAAGTGGAAGAAGAGCTGATGTTCCTGTACATGTATGCCTGAAGATTTTCCCCCCTTGTACAGTTGAAACCAAAAATTTACATACACTATAAAAGGACACACCTTTTTTTCCCCTCAATGTCTGACATTACATACACAAAACCTTTCCTTTGAGGCCAGCTAGAATTACCACAATTATCCACATTGTTTAAAAGCCATAAAATTGTACATATTAAACATAAGTTCATTACTTTATTGAAAACTTTAAACAGAGATTGATATACTTTTGAACAATATGGGTAAGCGCATATCGTGTGGTGATTACATTTTATGCTTAAAGGTATAGTGGAGGATTTTTTGTGAATTTTTGAAAAGACGCGCCCTCCCAGCTTGAAAAAAAATGCACATGCACAACCCTATAACTGCTCCCCAGAGGAAACGCCTATGAAACACGTGCAAGAGCATGCATGAGCCAATTTCTCCTTGTGCACGCTCTGTTTAAAAGCTGCTGTTTGCATCGCTCATATAAGCTTATTTTCCAAAAAAAGATTTGCAAATTTTCCACTATGTCAGAATCAACACCAGTAAGTCAAAATGCAAATGGGGGACGAGCACGTAGGATGGTCTTACTCAAACATTTTACCAGAATGATTGACAATTAGGAGGACCAGTTAATTGGATGATCCACCCGGAAAAAAACATCCTCTACCTGTAATTTAAAACATTCAAGTTTACTGGAGCAACATTTTTCGGAAACACCTCAAACACACCGTTTCTTGGTGTGACACCAATAAAACAAAAATCATAAAGAAATCGGGCAAGATATTAGAGAAGTGAATTTGAGAGCTTTAATAATCTGGTTCATCACTGGATACATGTGTAGATGCCGGAAGGTGAAGGCATTCACCTCAACATATGCTGAGCAAATCCTAGAAGTAAAGTGGTCCCTTCAACCTCAGCATAAAAGCACAAAAGTTGCTAAACATTCTGGCTGATTGTGGTAAGGAAGAGTCATTTTCTACAGTGAAACAAGCTGGGGTCAGAGACCAATAAGTGAGGAAGAGGCCATTATTCCAAATGCAATACAAAAGTCGGAAAACAAACAAAATTATTCTAATGACCTGGGATTTAAGAGAACTTAATATTATGTGTTTAAGCTGCAATGCCATTTTTAATATTTAAGGTGAAAAAGAAGAAAGCTTGAAGCCAGAGTACACCATCTGTATCGGGAAGTATAGAAGTGTCAGGAACTTGCTATGTGGGTGTTTGTTTCAGGAAGACTTATCAAATAGAAGCCATCATGAGAAAAAAAAAAGTGAAAATTTTATAGCATGGGCCTACCATAAGGAATTCATGTTTATTCATTCTTCTAAGTTACTTTTGTAGTGGATTAAGGATGACCAAATAAATGTTTTAGTGCGGTCATCATTAACCTCCGATCTAAGCCCCATATGAAGTTTAATTAGAGTTATAAATATCCTTAATGGACAGTCAGTAACATGCTTTGCAAAGATAGTGAGCCACAACATATTATTCCAAAAGACTGGCCATGTGAAAAGTGTTGTATCCAAGGATATTTATAAAAAGTTTAATGGAAACTAAAAAAATATGTTTCTTAACATCAATGGATTCCAATACATTTGAGCGATACTATTCAAAAGAAATAAAAGTGATGCCTTTAGATAAAACACTTTATGCAACAATGTAATATTGAGTTTACAAATTAAATGAAATAAATTAACTTTTGAATAGCAGTGTTTTATGCAGTAACGATGCACCTATACTAAAACAGAGACACCGATGACACTTAAGGGGTCATTCAACTTTATTACACGTTTAATCAACTCAATAAGATTTTATTTGCCAGATTGCTTACAGTACAGCTACACAGAAATACGTTGCCAAATAAACTAATATGTTTCAAGAAGTCACGGAGCATGTCTTTGGTTAAAGGACTTAATGAAAATAAAGAACAGCTCTTTCAATGGTAGCAACAATATCCTAATAAATTTACATTGTTTAACCAGTTTTAAATCTTGCAGACTTTACAAAAATGGACAATTTAGTTGTGCTTAGTGACGCTTCATGTCAATTAGGATTCACATTTCCTCTGCAACATAGATTTTTCTCATACTTGCTTCTAATTACATGTGAAATGCATGACCCTCCATTCAACTGACTGTTACATAATAAATAAAAAATACAGAATAGTTACATCCAAAACACAGCATTGTAAAAGGCAATAATGCAGCCATTAAAACCTTAATAACATAGTTTATATTTTATTTAGGGAGTAAGGGGATGGACCAACGAAGAAGAAGCCTAGAATCGGAATCAGGATGTTTAAGTACAAATGTGACTGGAGTAACTAGAGTATATACCATGTTGAGTTTTGCTAAATGCTGGTAGGAAACCTTCGGTGGTTTGGGAAACACAGGCAAGCTTATTCTCATTTATGGTTTCAGTAGTATCATTACGAGATCGAATGACTTAAACTGTGAACATACAATGTTTTCATTCACTAACGGAGCTGTACACTTTATACATGGGGCTGTGACTTTTCTTATCCCGTCATAACAAGACCACAACCCGCCTTTTAACCCACCTGACAAGACAAACAAAAACATGGCAAACCTCCTTTTCTTTTTTTTTTTCAAGAAAACACATAAAAAAAAGAAAAAGGACCCCCACCCCACACACTTTCTAGATGAGCTTTATGTAAAATAACCAGCAGACCAAAACATATAAAATCATTTGTGCAGAAACATACAGTAAAAGACCACTCAACTGCACAGTGTGACCTTTTCTAAACAAGGTGACCAATCATCGACTTCAGAGGCTAAAGGAAATTTAACCGACACACTAAGCTGTAAACAGTTAGTCAGAATTAAAAGGGGCAATCCCTTGCCTGTTTGGGGTACCAAGTTGGTCATAAATATGAAAACTACAATGAGTCATTCAATCAAAAGCTTTTTGTATGAGGAGACCTAAATAAAGCTCCTAGAGACTATATAATTCAGTGTTTTTGAGTTTAGTTAGGTCAAATTGGCATATAAAAAAAGAGAATATGACTGTCATGCCAGAGTGTCAAGAAGTTACTTCATATGGTGACCCAATACCCATAGCTGTGCCCTTTTACACACTTATCTGCCCTGTGCAGGATTTATTTTAAATAATCCCCCTGCTAATATGTGAAAATAAACAGGCTGCTACACCAAGTGATGATGAGGGCACGGGGAAGGGGGGGGGGTTAGTCCCTTAAATGTGTCGGTGCACTACTCCTATCCACGTTTACTACAGGCATCAAAAGAAAAAGAGGGAGGAATCAACGTCTACCTCGAATACATTCAGAAAGTAGTTGCTGTGTCGTTGTCTTGTGCTGGTTTTTACAACAGTCCGTTTTCAATCAGCCATGTTAGGAAAATGTTTCTCCTTCTCAAAACAGCACAATGTGTTTATTGTTTCTTAATCTTTTTTTTATGCATTTTTTCCATTACACCGATGTAAATTAATAATAGAAATGTCTACATCTAGTAGCGGATACGTCCTACGGTATTTACAGTGTCCTTTAGGAACATTCTGGACTCTTCAAAAGCAATGACAAGAACAACACAAAGAAATACTGCAGCATCATACACCAAAGTTGTCATGCTTTCAGTAAAATAAAAGACTTCTAATTTTTTCGTAGAACAGCTGTTTTTGAAAGCCAAACAATAAAACAAATATACAGCTTAATTGATATTTAGGGTATATTTTGCTAAATGTCTAAAGATTTTTTTGTGCCACCAGCTGAAACAGCGTTTCTGTACTAATTTGTTTTTGAATTGAAGCCTGTTTGTCTCATACATTCAAAACCTTCACTACTTTACCTACAGCTGTCAGTGACTCGTAGAGGTAAGTTTTTCAGCTCGATTATAAACTAGGCTGCCATTCACACTCATCTACACAGAGAACTGTTACTGTGGTACAATCTCAACAAAGAAACTACGAATGAAAAATAAATAGTAATAATAAAGCATTATGTACCATTCAAAATTCAGTTTCTAGTGAGGAGCAGTAGGTCGTCATGCCACAGGAATGAGGTGGATGGTCTGTAGCTCTGCTTCACGTTAAGGAATATTTGACTACAATAATTAACACAGGGTTGTATCGTATCTCATTAATCACTTTATGATGCAATTAACTGGTTTTGGGGAAGCACCCTAGTTTCACCAGTTAAATAAAATCTGCAACACATCATCAAACTGTCACAGGAAGTGCAGCTGGGACATCATTGTATGGACAAGTGTGGGGGGGGGACAAAACATGTGGTGAGGCATGACTTGCTGGTAGCATTCAGAGCTTCAGTTCATTTGCTCAAAGAACTTGTAGGTGGGGTTCTCGTAGCCGTGGTTTTGCATTTTGTTGAGCTGCCTTTCTTCGGGTGTCAACATAGGGTCGACCTGCTGAACCCCCCCATAAAAAGCTGGAGTTACAATATGGCAGAAAATGACACAGCTGAAGCTCACAAAGAGAAAAAATTAAGAATTTAAAAAACCTCAAGGTGCCTTTGAATGAAACCCGTCACATATAGCTTTATAAACCCAACTATAAACACAGGTGGTAATGTTAAACCTATATATTCGCTATTCTTTGCAGCACTCTTACAGGGAGCTATGGGGATTTTTTGGTTTCAATAATGTCAGAAAATGTCTACCTGTAATGCAATAGTTTAAGTAATTTAAATAAAATGAAGCCAATGTATTAAGAACCTGACAATTACTTGTAGATTATTTCATTTGTCTCCATTATACTGGCATTAAAATAATAATTTTACAGTGTAAAACCAGTTTCTGATGAAATTATAACAAAGCTAGCGGATTTCCTTTCTTGGTTATATATATATATTTTTCAACGATTTTGTAAAATTTGTAATCATAGTGAGTGGTATAGCAATCATGTTAATTTATTTAAAGGCACAGCGCAGAACTTTCTCCTTAATGAAGGTTTTAAGACACAATAAAACAATTCCTTTTGTACAAAATCTTTAATAATTGGTTAGCTTAGATATGTTAATGTTCGATCACATATATGAATAAATATAATCCCATTGATCAATATAATGTATGTTTGCTAAATAAATCTGCTGAAGGGATTTAAAGGAATTTTATAAAGACAGCAGTGTTAATGACCTAGTTTTTTAATGTTATTAATTGTAGACTTTTATTATGAGTCAAAGTTTTTATTGTTAAATAACCTCATATTTGTTTACATATAAAATGGCCAAAGTTACTACGTTATTTTTCAGATACTGTTTTGTTGTTTATCACAGTCACAGTTTTTTCATTGTTCTGACTTGTTTCCAGTTCCTGACTAATAAAAATAAGCACCGTTACTCAAAGAGCAGGTTCTCTTGCCTCCCACATTTTGTTGAGTAGCTAAGAGCAACTGTTAACGATGTAGCAATGGTTGTTTTATAACTTATTTTAGAGTCTTAGAAATACAACGTTGTAGATCAATGAAGTGATCCAGTCACTTTTAACAGTCAATCTAAATATTATTCTTAAAAGCCTCAACTGCATTTGTTCTATAGGGCTTTCCCTTTTGGTTGCACAAGTAGTTTTGTTGAAAACTACTTTTTCTTAAGATTTTCTGAGTTGTTATGGAGCAGATAATAGTCAGAGCAATCTTAGTTACAAGAAACAATAAAGAGGTTTCTCTGGATCTCTATCTCAAGCATTTTATTTTCTTACTATGCATTTCTTTTACGTTATTGCTTGTGGTTTTTAACACTGAAGTATGTTTGCCTGTTATCCATTACCAATTTTCCATGAGAAACAGGTTTTCAGCATGAGCCAAGTATTCGATACAAAGCTGATTTGGTGAAACAACAGAAAATGGGAAATTTCAACATTATCTTATAGCTTCACTGACTTGCTGTTAGATTAACTTTTAGATTTTGCATTCAAGCTAAATCAAAGGAGCATGATCTACTGCAAGCAAGATTTTTACTCTTTAACTACTAAACTATAATGTAAAAAAAACCAAAAAAAAAAAAAACCAAAGACAATTTAAACATTAGCTTAAATTAAAGGTCAGGGTTAGGTATTACCTCGACAATGCCATGACTAATAGTGCCGTATGGCTTCCTGCGCACCAACAGCAGGCTGATCACCATCACCATGGCAATTGCTACAGCAACCACCAGCAAGCCAACCATGGCACCACGGTTAAACGTATCCAGGACATCGGGCTGCTTTTAAAGGAAGCAGAAAATGAATGTGAAGCAACCTAGAAATTTTACTACAGAGTGTGATGTAATTATAAGCACAATGTATCTTTGCTTTTAAAGGTGCTATACAGATATAATGTAGCATTATTATCAAATACACACTTTGTATTTGCATTTAAATATTTCACAATCAAAGAACTAAACAATTTTTTCTTTATACATAAGTTCTTACCAGTTCATCTCTTGCAATCTCATTTGGTTTCACCACCTGTTTGAGCTCAGCAGAGGTGTTAATCTGTAGAAACAGAGAATATTTAACAGTAAGAAACTATACAGGTCAATCTAAGTACATTTAGAATATAATTTTTTTTTGTTTTAAATCAGTATTGCGGTTCAAAAAGTGAAATTCTTAAATATGTAGATTCATTAATCATGGTGATATATCTATATATATATTTGTGGCTTAGATTTAAATTTCAAAGAAAATTTTATCCCATTTAGTTACACTGATAATAATCAACTCCCATTTTTTCTAAAAATTATACTATATCTCCTCCCCTCACCTTAAGAATCAGTATCTAAAACTACAAAAAATAAACATTTGATGTAGACTTTATGATGCGCTACTCTGTGCAGCACTATATAAGAACCAAAGAAAGCAAGCAGTAGTTGGAGCCAATAATGGCAAAGATCTAAACCCACAAAGTTTTTGCTTCAAGGGGATACCTCTAACAACTCTACCACAGCACAGGCTTTATCCAAGCATAATAATGGAATATTTAGTGGAAAAAATTTAGTTTAGAATGTAGTCACGAAGGTACTGGAGAAGCAGTGAGAGAATAGTTAAACAAAGTCTAAGTGGAGGCTATCGAGTACAGAAGGTGAGTGGAGCTGTGCACCAGTGTTCCAGTATTTTTTGTCCTTAAACTATAATATAGTCTGAAGGCCAAAATCTTCAAAGTTCATAAAAATAAAAACTTCATATAAATTACGGTGTGCATGATAGGTTTCGATAAGTTTTGATAACATTTTCACTTACTGGGCCCAAGCAAAAATTATTTAATGACTAATACATTTAGATTAGGTATATATGAAGTAGAAACTAAAACAATCATCAGCTTACCTTTTCCTCATATTCATAATTACGGCCTCTTTCAGATGTGGTATAATCATATTCATCCTCTGTACATACAAGGAAAGGATAAAACATCCTTAGCATAGTAAGCTATGGAAAATGTAAGACTAAATGAATCACTCTAATAACTGCAGAGTGCAAAAGTTTGAGGTCAAATGATGCTGAACTGCAGCTCACCTTTCCTATTGGAGTGTAGATCTAGGAGAAACCGACAAGAAGGAGGGAAAAAAAGCATCATTAACAAGAGTAATGGGTGAGAAGCAGATAATTACCTGACACTTTCTTAGAAAATGAGGGAAAAACCGAAGTATTTTAGATATGTGGGTGATAGTATTTGTAATTAGTAAGTAAAGCACCGATGCGAGGAGGGTAAGGCCGGTTCTGGAAGGCCCTCTCCTCCTCCTCTTCGTCATCCTTCTCTTCCTCGCTCTCTGCTGGTATGAGCACTTCAGTGGTCCGGGTCTCGGAGAAGGAAGTAGTCATGAGCTCGCTGATGTCGCCTCGCTCTGCCTTGACAAGCTCCTCTAAAGGTATGGAGAAACACACACACAGGTAATCAATGCTTATACAAAATTTTGGTGAAAAGTTAACATACAGTCATCATCAGCAGAAATATCACATTCATTTTGGGCTTTTTGATAATGCATTTGAATAAACAGCAGTAATGATTTTTTACACGAGTTGTCAATATAAGTTTTTTTTTATTCATATGTGGGGACATTTTTACATTCAAATATTACATTAAAATACATACATACATGTCAATTTTTAAGTTGCACATAAAACATACCATTCCCTCTAACATCTCCAAACATTCTTACCAGTGTTTCCAGTTGAAGAAACATTTTTATATGTAATCTTTTACATATTTGAGGCATGAGTCACTAAGCATCATGTTAGCCTGTTCATTCATTTTAGATCTAGGTGTATATCTGTTAGGAATCACTTTTCTGTTGGATCAGATGGCTTTGTTGCGGTTTTAACAGTCTCTCCTGAAACTGAAAAGGGCTTGGTTAGGATGTTTAGTATCCAGGGCTGCAGGAAGAATAAGAAACCTGCAATAATCCAGAAGCTGCTGGAGAAACAGTGTCACTACACACAAGTGGGGAATTTTTAAGGCTTTAAAACACTGAGCAGGCAAAGCATGATAAACCAAATGCAAAAATAATAATATACATGTTACCCAACTTAATATTTTAAATAAGTTATGGAAACCTACCGGTACTTAAACAAATTTTTACCAAAGAACCCTAATTCTGATATTTATTCTGTTTGTTTTCTTCAGTATAGACATCCCGATGAGGATTCCTATAGAACCAAGAGCTGCTGCTGGTAACGGACTAAATGTCACCTTAGTAGATTTTTTTTAAATCTTCTCAAATCAATTTTTATCATCAGTGAGGTAGGTGTTGTTAAAAGTTTTATGTGGTAATTATAGCATCTGTAAGCTGACAGCAACCGGAAAGAAGCTGGAGCTTCTCTTAATTCAGAGATTGCAATGACACTCTAGGAACACATGGATGGATTATTAACAAATGTATTAAAATTAGATAGATTTAGTTTTTACTGAGCATGTAGAGATGGTGTCTGTGTAGTTGAATCATTTTTTTCTTGTTATGCTCAGCGTATTTTGTGACATTTGAACAAGTTTGTTTGGGTGAAAATGTGTTGAGAGGTATCAGTACAGAAACTTTAGCAGGCTGCTTCGTGGTTGTGCTGTCAGATTACCACAGATCTGCTGCAAAAAGGGTGGTTTTCTTAGTAAAAGTAAGATACATGCTTTTGTTCACACTTAGAAAGTTTGCAACTTCAAATTTAAAAACCTCTGCACAAAGTACTGTAATGGCAGCATGATAAGGATCACAAGGAGCAGTTTTTTTTTTTTGGTGTATTTGAGTTTGTATGTATAATTGTTTTCCTTCTTTAATGAGACAGAAATATCAAGAATTTCCAGTTTCAGCACCCAAAATATAATATTTAAAATAGTGTTAAAATAAAAATATATAATATATAAACATTCCGACTCACAGATAAAGAGACATCCTGATAGATCCTAAACTAAAATGGCTCAAAAGGTTCCGTTTTGATGTTTTCTAGATTAGTTTCGTTTCTCATCCAAGAGACTTCTTCAGTTCTTCTAGAAAACTTTACGTCCAGTTGCCTGAACTGAACCATTTGAGTTTTACCATGATTTGGATGACTTCACAGATAAAGTTAAAATGAAAATTATGAGCATCAGGGGAAAGGAATGATACCAAATGTCAGTATCAATGTGGCCCAGTTGGACAGTCTTAGCAGATGGACAAGCTTCAGTCTTAGCGGTCCTCCTAAAAATATGACTAAGATCACATTCAAACAGCACTATTTGGCTGATCTTCTCCTTCTTGAAAAGCACATATTGATGATAGGGGCAAAACACTCCTGCCAACTCTTGACTTTTCAGAGCCCTCTGGCCTTTTTTCTCTCAAGAAACAACTGACAAATCTAGACTTTCTCTGTGTTGTTTGAGATTTAGGAAGGAAATGAATAGATGGAACAGTCTGAGTTTACTGTCTTCATTAAGCAGTGAGGGCTGCTGTGAGCCTCTCCCACTTCCAAAGCACTGGCAGGTAACCAGCAATCAGCCTAGCTGTGCAGCCAACTGTGCCTGCAGTCAGAGAAAGGAGAAGACTGACTCCAGTCTGTTTCACTATTGAAAATGAGCAAAGCTTCCACTGATTCTATTGAAGATTAGAAAGTGGGATGTAAATAAATTGTAAATATATTCTTTAATGTAACACAGCTTTTTTCTCCTAAAATGTTGCATTTAAAATAGACATCCTCCTTGTCATTTATTCACCTCAATCGCTGTTATTTGGTTAAATTTGATAATATGCATAAATTGACAATGTAGTGGGTCCTGAGGTACCGGTATATATATATAAACAAATACTTGAGTTCTTTTATTCAGTTCTAAATGTAATAAGAGTGTTTTTAATCATTGAATTGACAGTTTTGATATTCCCTTTTTCTACAATTATACAAAATACTTTTTATTTAAGATATAGTGTTTTATGTTTTTACTTTAGCCTCCCAAGAAGTGTTTGTTTTTAGTTGAGTTTGTGTGTGTTTGTACCGGTATGTGTGTGTACAAGATAACTTAAAAAGTTATTAACAGATTTGAATGAAATTTTTAGAAAATGTGCATCTCAGTTCAAGGAGCAATCCAATAAATGTTGGTGATGATCCAGATCATAATCGGGATGCAGGAATTTTTTTAAGGATTCTTTAACGTTATTTGATGGAACAAGCATTTCCCCCCTAAACCTGAGAGTGACAGCAGTGACTATTGACAGCTTCTTTATCAGTCTTGGTACTGTTAAAATACCAGAATCTATAAGGAATATGGTTAAAGGTAGTAGTATTGAAAAGTCCTTAAGGATATCCATCTATATTCATGAGTGTATGTAGCTCCATCGAGCTGTGATCTTTTCCTAACAGGCTGACTATAAAATAGCACTTAAAAAAACAACAGTTTCTTACGGATGTCACTGTGTAGCTCCTCAGCTAATGTTGGATCCTTATAAAGCAGAGCAAGACTTTGGTTCATCCTTTCCTCAATGACATGTAGATGTGTGTACACCTGTAAGATTAAACATAAAAAATATTTTAGTGTAAAGAACAGTCAGTTTGTTTAGAAACGAGATCCAGTTTTCTTTAAGAGGTTGCATTTAAATCTGGCAAAGGTCGGCTGTGATCTCAGTTAAATGGAGTAGAAATATTATGTCCTCTAGCATGCATGCAATTATACCAGCACAGACTGTTCTCTGAGTTTCTCTGTCAGCAGAAAGCCTTGCTGCATCTTCAAAGCTCCCACCTGGAATTTCATTTGCTCAGCTTTCTGTGGGTCGACAGCCACAATATGCTGGTAGTGCCTTAGAGTGTGTCTGCGGTCCTTCTGCTCTGCAGCCATGTACCGTTTTAAAGCCTGAAGCACCCGCTCAGGCTGGAAGTTACAAAAAGATGAGCAGTCAGAAAACAGAGCACTGCGACATAAAGAGACTCTTTCATTTACTGCAAGAAACATGAAATATGAAACCTGCTCTGGATTACTGCAGGGATTACATGACATAAATCTCAGTTTTCTGCCCTGGTATGCACACAAGGATGGACTTACCTGGGGGGGATCAGATTGTACAGCCGTCAGGTAGTTCTCCAAAGCTAGGCGGCGGTTGTTGTTGAGAATGGCCTCGACTCTGGCGAGATGAGTCTCCACTAGCCTCTGTCTCTCCCCAGCAACCTGTTCCTCCAACGTCTGCAGCACAGACTGGAAATGCTGGAAGAGAAAAGAAGAAGCTGAGAATCATGGGCCATTTACGTGGGAGCTCTGCAAAAGAAAATATTTAAAACTAAACTCAGAAAAAAAAAAAGAAATATGTACCTCATTTAAAGCCTGTCGCTCTGACTTTGGCAGGTTTTGTGACTGATGGTCAGCCTCCGCCCATTCCTTCATTATCTGACAGATGGAAAAAAACAGGTCACTTTATCACTCTAGGTTAACAAACACTGGCCTGGAGTTCCCAGTAATATACATTACTGGAAATGTAAATGCTACCTGAATAAACTTTACATAAAGCATCTAGACTTTTATCCAAGAAAACTCAGCTGTGTCACACATGTTATGTGTCACATTTTGCCTCAAGAAAAATACTAAAGTGTATTTTTAGACTGACTTAAACAGGGCTGGATGAACAACTTTTATTTTTTTTTATGAAAATGATATTAATTGAAAATCTGGATTTATTTCACCAATCCACTCTTTGGGCTTTTACAGCTCAGAGTGACGTCAGTTCATCACTTTTTGTTTTTAGATGATGTACTCATAAATGATAAACTAGCTCTCTATGTGAAACCACAGGCTGCAAACCTTTAGTGTGTTATATTTTATTGTTTGTTGTAAAACATGATTATTGTAAGAGAACACTTCACAGCTTGAATTTGCCCTTTAAATGAGGTCACTTCCCAGAGGGGATGATACAAATTAATGCTAGTTTTCAAAAGCAAGAAATGCCATTTGTATTATGTAACTTAAATGAAAAAAAAAAAGATTAATCAGAGAAAATGATCATATATTTAGACCATGTTGTCCAGCCCTAGATTTAAGAGATAAAAGCAAATCAGTGAAGAATTTTAAAATCGACAAAAATATACATTTCTCAATTGTTTTACAAATACCAACTGTCTAGCAAGCATTTCCAGATTGAACATGCTTTATTATTTCTATTATTCTTATGTATTTATTTATTTATTGTCTGCTGTCCTGAAGGAAGATAAACAAACCCCCCTTTTCTTCTAGAATTGAAAAAAAAAATATCTCTAGCTGAAAAATAGTGATGGGAATAGCAGATCTTTTGAGTGAACTGAATCACTATTACCAGTTCATTAAACTATAATATATATTCAACTATAAACAGCTTCCCAAATCCAGGAGGAAAATGATTCCCACTGCATGATGCTGACTGTGGGGGAGTTCATGTTTAGGTTCTTGCTCAAATTTAGTTTTGCACCACACATAGTGCCACTGATGGCTACGTGTGTTTTGTGTGAAAGCCAAAAGAATTGAGTAATATATAAATAAAGAAAACTCCAGCTACTCAAGAAGGCCAGTTATCAGATGGTAAATGGCATGTACTTATATAGCGCCTTTATTCAAGTCAGGAGACTTGACCAAAGCACTTTACACTACATTCAGTCATTCACCCATTCACTCACACACTGATGGTGGTGAACTACATTGTAGCCACAGCTGCCTTGGGGCTCATTGACAGAAGCGGGGCTGCCGTACACTGGCGCCACCGGGCCCTCTGACCACTATCAGTAGACAATGCAGGTGAAGTGTCTTGCCCAAGGACACAACGACACTGAAAGTCGGAGTCGGGGCTTGAACCGTCAATCCTTCGATTTCAGGGCTAACTCCTACATCCAACGCCACTGTCGCCCACAGAGGTGGGTATTAATTAGTTACATTTATCCAGTTACATTTACTTCAGTAACAATTTTAAAAAAAAGTACTTTTAGGGGTAGGTTTACTGTGCCATACAGTACTTCTTACTTCTACTTGAGTAATACTCTGTAAAGTATTGCTAATTCTAGTAAAATCTCGGACTACTCTGTCCTCTCTGAGTAGTTTTAACTATTCAAAAATCAGGTATACTGTACATACTGTAAACAGTAGATATTAACAGTGGAAGTTTGTTACCCTGTCCTAACATATATACAGTTATCCTTGTAAGGATTGTTTTTTTTAAGTTTTATGTTGAAAAAAATTGGTAAAAGTATTTCTTCTCAATGAATTTGTTCTTTTATATTCGTGACAGTTATTTGCATTCTTTAGGTATCTAGTCTTTAAACAGAACTTGCACATAAAGTCTGTTTGCCAGCATCATTTATAAACATTAAATCTGGTGTCATTATCTAACATGTACTGAGTACTCAAGTAGCCTTTTTACCAAATACTTTTTTACTTCTACTTGAGTAACTTCTTGGATGACTATTTTTTACCTTTACTTTAGTAGTGTAGAAGTAGTGCTACTCTTATTCTACCAGCCTCTGCCAGTTATGTAGAGTTGACTACTTCTAGTTGTACAGTCAGTGGTGGTACCATTGACTAAACTATTATCTGTCCAAAGCAATGTGCAACCTGACATGCAGTCAACCTGCTCCCCGCCTTGCGAAATTCACCTCATTGATGCGCTTCATTCTGCGCTCCTCCAGGTCCGTTTTGGCACGCAGGAAGTTGGCGTGCTCGGTGTCATCCACTGGCTTCTCAAAGTAAACATCAACCCCATCTGTGGGGCGAGTTGTAGTAACTGGATGGGAACAACAGGAAACCGCCATTACCCGGATAAATCTAGAGTCTACACACATTCAATGAGAAATCTAAAGACTGAGCACCATCATTCTTCTATCATGTAAAAAAAAATAGAATATGGTTTGTAATGTAAAACTTAAAATATGTAGTTTTAGGGCCTTTTCTTTCTATCCAAGCTTAAATTCAAACCTCAGCAAACTAAAGCATTTGTCATCTTCATTTCAACCCAATCAGTCAATCATCTACAACTATTTAACTCATTGCTCTCCACCTCTATTATCTAATATATGAAGTTACCATCCTAAAATTGTTCTGATTGGATCTTTAATGTGTCGTGGTTAACTTCTGTATTTACTGTGCACACTCAAGCATGAACTTAGCTGTGGCCTTGCTGTGGTTGTAAATGTATGTTATGCACCAGATTAAAGTGAAACACTTTCACACTAACATTTGTTGAGGTAAGAGGGTTAGAGAACAATGATGGGAAGCTGAACTGTTAGGAAATCAAGTTCCAAATATACACGTGCACATAAACTTTGCACCCATACACCCTACATATGCACTGTGTGGTGATATGTTTCCGAACTATAAGTGCAGGGATGATGCATTCAATATGAGGGGTGCTGAGATCTATTTTTACATTGTCGTTTTTACAGCTACCACTCATGCTTCTATGTTTTAGAAACAAAATGAAGATGAACTAATCACTCACAGATGTCTCCCTTGACCAAAGGGGTAGACGTTGTGGGTTTGTGACTGTCGTCATAGTAGAAGGAGTAGTCAGATGTCCGGTAAGGATCAAGAGGGTATTCATAATCCTCCTGCTCCTTTGCAGCTGTTGTTTCTTCTTCTTCTTCTTCTTCCTCCTCTTCTTCTTCTTCTGCCTCATCCTCATCAAAGTTTTCCTCCTCTTCATCCTCTTCTTCATCTACCACTTCATCGTCCTCCTCCTCCATGTCTACATCGTCCACTTCCTTTTCTGGGGTGGGGCTTGGAGTAGGTGCCATCAACTTGCTGCTTGCAGGAAATAGTTCATTCTTGTTATTCTGATTTGGACAAGCCATTTAAATAGCAACATTTAAACAGATCTGCAGTGTCGTCTTACACAGAGCCAGGTTTTGCAGCAGTCTGGGATGCAAGCATTTGAGGGACCTCCTTTTCCTCTGTCTCCCCTTTTCCATTTGAGGGGCTCCTTCCCGGGCAGCAGACGTACTCTACACCTCTGAAGTGATCCCCACATGGCAGCAGCATCCCGTAGCTGTGCAGCTCAAGATTCTCTGCAGTGCATTCCTGACAAAAGCACAGAGATATACAGAGGAGGGAGTATATTGTGGATGTTATCCATGATTTGTTCAGTATGTGTCAGAACTCCTGGTTTAAAAAATAAAAGCTATGGGATGAAAAAGGTATTTCGTCAGCCACTGATTGTGCTTAGCAAGATGACAGAGGTTTGTTATTTATTCGTAGGTAAACTTAAACTGTGAATGACAAAATCAGAAAAAAAGCATTAAAATGCATTGTAAGATTTTAAAAATAACAGTGTAAAAGAAGTATTTGGTCAATAAAGAAAGTTTAACTCAATACTTTGTAGAATAACCTTTGTCACCAATGACAGAGATCACACCTCTCCTGTAGGTCTTCACCAGGTTTTAACACTCTATAGCTGGTATTGTAGCCCAATCCTCCAGACAGATCTATAAAGCATTGATGTTTTGGTGCTGTCGCTGGGCAACACAATTTCAACTCCCTCCAGACATTTCTATGGGGTTGAGGACTGCAGACTGGCTAGGCCATTCCAGGAACTTGAAATGCTTTTTACTGAGCCACTTCATCATTTACGGAGTGGTTTGTGTTGAGTTGAACATTTGTTATCTGCCAAATACCTACTTTTTTTTTTTTTTTAACCATAATTCAAAAATCCTACAGCATGATTTCTGGACTTTTTTCTCTCTCTTATAGTAAAAATGTACCTATGAGGAAAATCACAGACCTTTCTTATATTTTTAAGAAAAACTTGCTAATTAATTGTCGGACTAAATATCTTTTTCCTCAAACTGTAGATGTTAACAGATATTCATGGATACATGTTTTTTTTTGCACTGAACTTTCTCAGATTCATTAACATTACAACCATTACAACCTCAATGTGCGTTATTTGGATTTTATATGGCAAACCAACGCAATGTAGCAGGTTACTGTAAAGGAAAAGGAAATAGCTTTTAACAATTGTTAGAAATAATAATCTCAAAAGTCTTTTTGGTTGATAAACTGTATAAATAGAGGTCTTATAGTGCTGTCTATATTTACTCTTTGAGAATTTAACTTTGCATTTCTTAAAAAAATCTGCTTTTGTGTCTAAATCCACTTGTATGGTGCCCTCTTCAGGTTAAAAGGGGATTACTTTGTAAGATTCTTTGCTTTTGGCTTAGCCAGGGGTGAGACAGCAGCTCTACCCTGGGAAGTGTTGGTTTGCTTAGGGACAAACAATAAATTACATTATTTTGCTATACAAGGAAAGGAAAATACGTTATGTTCTCTTCAATTGTAAAGGCTTGGAAAAAAAATGTGAATGCATTAAAATTAGATAAAAAATAAGTCTGAACCATCTGTCCAGTATCCAGAGATGGGAAGTAACGAAGTACAAATACTTCGTTACTGTACTCAAGTAGATTTTTCTGATATTTTTATTTTACTACTTATTTTTATGGTGACTTTTTACTTCTACTCCTTACATTTTGACACAAATATCTGTACTTTCTACTCCTTACATTTAAAAAAAATGGGCTCGTTACTTTAGTTTTGAATCATTTCAATGGCGTTACTGTTATTATTTTTCACGTCATCAATACCAAATTCAATCTAATTGGATGGGAATCTACGTTGCATTTGACGCACCACTACAAGATGAATTGACAGATTCGGCGGTATTCATTCGCGGCAAATCATTGCAGCTTGGTGGCGGTGGCGTTAGCATAGTAG